ATTCTCCTGCCTCAGCCTCCTGAGTAGCTGGGACTACAGGCATGTGCCACTACGCCTGGCTAATTTTGTATTTTTAGTAGAGATGGGGTTTCTCCATGTTGGTCAGGCTGATCTCGAACTCCCAACCTAAGGTGATGTGCCCACCTTGGCCTCCCAAAATGTTGGGATTACAGACATGAGCCACCGTGCCTGGCCATAACCTACTATTTCTTTAGTTTGATCAACTGAGTGAAATTGCCACTGTTTTCTCCTCATGTGACAGATTTTTTTGCCCCGGCTTAAACCTGCTGTTTTGAGTATAGAGTTTCAGCCACAGTACTGATAAGTGACTGTTAAACTTGTTTAATAAGTGTTAAATATTTACTTTATAGTTTGCTTCAAGGACAAACATTTGCTTAATTCAGATCCATTAAGCCAACAGTTTCCAGTTGAGATACTGTTTAACATTCTCACAAAGTTGTATGTAAAACATGAAACTTGATATATCTCTTAATTTGTTTTTTGGTTTTATGGGTTTTTTTTGAGATGGAGTTTCGCTCTTGTTGTCCAGGCTGGAGTGCAATGGCTCGATCTCGCAGCACTGCAACCTCTGCCTCCTGAGTTCAAGCAATTCTCCTGCCTCAGCCTCCCACATAGCTGGGATTACAGGCATGCGCTACCACGCCCAGCTAATTTTGTGTTTTTAGTAGAGACAGGGTTTCACCATGTTGGTCAGGCTGGTCTTAAACTTCCAACCTCAGGTGATCCGCCCGCCTCAACCTCCCAAAGTGCTGGGATTACAGGCATGAGCCACCTCGCCCGGCCCTCAATATATCTCTTACTTTACATCCAGGAAGGTCCAGTCTATAGGGAAGACACATTTCTTCTTTAACACTCTATTATCTGCTACTTACAACATTTAGCCAGAAAATGTCTAAACTGCCATTTGCCACTTTTCTTTGGTTTGCAGTTATACGTAAATAGTGTGTCTCCTTGCTTAATTTTGGTTTCTTTCAGTATTATTTCAAAGTTTGTAAAAATTAAATCTTTGTCAGGGACTATGCCAGTAAAAATTGAAGGATTGCCACTGTTTGTCCAACTTTTATTAATCTCCCCAAGCCAGCTATTTTTCCACTCCAACTATTTTATTCCAGTAGATATTTAAATAACTAAATTCTAGTTACTTAGCCTGGAAATGTGAGTTGTATTTAATTTTTTCCTTTTTAAAAATCTCTTACACGTAAGTGATGAATCTTGTCAATTTATTGTTTATTTCTTGAGTTGGGCTCCACCCAGGCTGGAGTGTAGTGGTGCAGTTGTAGCCCACTGCCGCCTGGAATTCCTGGGCAGAAGCAACCCTCCTACCTCAGCCTCCTGAGTAGCTGGGACTACAGACACGTGTCACCGTGGCTGGCTAATCTTCCTTAAATATTTTCTTTTTTTTTTATTTTTTAAGACAGAGTTTTGCTCTTGTTGCCCAGGCTGGAGTGCAATGGTGTGATCTTGGCTCACTGTAACCTCTGCTTTCCGGGTTCCAGTGATTCTCCTGCCTCAGCCTCCTGAGTAGCTGGGATTACAGGCATGCACCACCACGCCCAGCTAATTTTGTATTTTTAGTAGACACGGGGTTTCTTCATGTTGGTCAGGCTGGTCTCAAACTCCCGACCTCAGGTGATCCGTCTGCCTCAGTCTCCCAAAGTGATGAGATCACAGGCGTGAGCCACCACATCCGGCCTTTTCCTTGAATTTTTTTATAGAGATGGGGTCTCGCTATGTTGCCCAGGCTGGTCTTGAACTCCTGGGCTCAAGTGATCCTCCCACCTCAGCCTCCCAAAGTGCTGGGATTACAGGTGTGAGCCACCATATCCAGCCCAACACCACTTATTGAAGAGACTATCCTTTTCCCATTGTGGTTTTGTTTTGTTTTGTTTTGTTTTTTTATCTCAGAGATGAGGTCTGCTTATTGCTTATGTTGCCCAAGCTGGGCTTTGTTGTGTTTTTAACATCTTGTTCATCTAGGCTTACAGTCACACTTTATGTCCTCATCACTTGATGCTTAGACAACCACTGTCTCTAAACTTACAGGATTTTTCATTTTTTCCATTTCTGTATAATTTCAGTCTATTATATTGCCATGAAATTAATCTTCTTGAAAATAATGATTTAAATTAACAGTCCAAATGCTTTAACCTGGTAGTCAGGGTCCTCCATATTCTGGCCTCACTTCTGTTTCTTCAGCCTGTCTTCCACAATTTCCCTCTGTTTCCTGGTTTATCTGTTCCTTCTCAAATATATCAGTTTTGTTTTTTTGTTTTCTCCCTTTTTTTTTCTTGAGACAGAGTCTTACTCTGTTGCCCAGGCTGGAGTGCAGTGGCACAATCTTGGCTCATTGCAACCTCTGCCTCCTGGGTTCAAGCAATTCTCGTGCCTCAGCCTCCCGACTTAGCTAGCATTACAGATGTGCACTACCACACCGACCTAATTTTTGTACTTTTAGTAAAGATGGGTTTCGCCGTGTTGGCCAGGCTGGTCTGGAACTCCTGGCCTCAAGCAGTCCATCTGCCTCAGCCTCCCAAAGTGCTGGGATTACAGCTGTGAGCCACCATGCCTGGCTCACAGTTTTGAAGCTGTGAGCTTCAAAATGTATCACAGTTTTGAAGCTGATCTGATTCTGTACTCACTGGGATTCCCAACATCATTTTTCCTCCATGACTGCTTTGCAATGCCTTCTGGTCAATTCTAGTTATTTTTTTCTGTCTTATGTCCACATGCTGATGATTTAAGGATAGGATACCTTGTTTTTTTTTTCTTAAAGACAGGGTTTCAGCATGTTGGCCAGGCTGGTCCTGAACTTCCGACCTCAGGTGATCTGCCCGCCTTGGCCTCCCAAAGTGCTGAGATTAAAGGCGTGAACCACCATGCCCAGCCAGGATACCTTGTTTTTGACATTGTTCTGTGGCAGGGTGCATGTTAATTTTATTCCCATTAGTCACTTGGGGTTTTTGCATTGAAATATAACTCATCTATAATAAAATTCATCTCTTAAAATGTACAGTTCAGTGGTTTCTGGTATATTCACAAAGTAATACAACCATCAGCACTAATTCCAGAATGTTTTCATCCCTCCAAAAAGAAACCCGTATGTATTAGTAGTTACCTCCCACTATCCTCTCCCTCCAGCCCCTGGCAACCACTAATCCACTCTAGGTTTCTGTGATTTCCCTCCCTTTCATATAAATATAATCATACAATATGTGGTCTTTTCTGCCTGGCTTCTTTTACTTAGCTTTATGTTTTCAAGGTCCATCCGTGTTATAACATATACCATTACCTCATTCCTTTTGCTTTTTTAAAATTTGTAAAATACAACATAAAATTTGCCATCTTAACCATTTTAAGTGTACAGTTCAATAAGGTATATTCTGGCCAGGCGCCGTGGCTCACACCTGTATTCCTAGCACTTTGGGAGGCCGAGGCGGGTGGATCACGAGGTCAGGAGATCAAGACCATCCTGACCAACATGGTGAAACTCCATCTCTACTAAAAATACAAAAAAAATTAGCCAGGCATGGTGGTGCATGCCTATAATCCCAGCTATTCGGGAGGCTGAGGCAAGAGAATCACTTGAACCAGGGAGTCAGAGGCTGCAGTGAGCCAAGAATGCACCCATTGCACTCCAGCCTGGATGACAGAGCGAGACTCCGTCTCAAAAAAAAAAAAAGTATATTCACGCTGTTATGCAGCAGTCTTGAGAACTTTTTCATCTTGCAAAACTGAAACTCTACCCATTAAGCAACTTATTTCCCTCTCTCCAGCTCCTGACAGCCACTATTATACCTTTTGTCTTTATGAGTTTGACTACTCTAGGTACCATACATAGGTGGACTCATACAGTGTCTCTCTGGCTTATTTCATTTAGCATAATATCCTCAAGGTGTATTCATGTAGCATGTGTCAGAATTTCTGTCGCTGTTTTTTTTGTTTGTTTGTTTTGTTTTGTTTATTTGAGACAGTGTCGCTTTGTTGCCCAGACTGAAGCGCAGTGACTCCATCTCGGCTCACTGCAACCTCCGCCTCCCAAGTAGCTGGGATTAAGGCGCCGGCCACCATGCCTGGCTTTTTTGTATTTTTAGTAGAGACAGGGTTTCACCATGTTGGCCAGGCTGGTTTCAGACTCCTGACCTCAAGTGATCCGTCCACCTCAGTCTCCCAAAGTGCTAGGATTACAGGCGTGATCCACCTCACCCAGCCTCATTTTTAAGACTAATATTCCTTTTTATGTATATACCACATTTTGTATATCCATTCATCTGTCAAGGGGTATTTGGGTTGCTTCCACTCTTGGCTATTGTGAACATTGCTATGAACACGGATGTGCAAATATATGTTCGAGTCCCTGCTGTTATTTCTTTTGGATATATACCAGGAAGTGGAATTTCTGGGGTCATTTGGTAATTCTATTTTTATTTATTTATTTTGAGACGGAGTCTCTCCCTGTCGCACGGGCTGGAATGCAGTGGCACAATCTGAGCTCACTGCAACCTCCACCTCCCGGGTACAAGGGATTCTCCTGCCTCAGCCTTTCGAGTAGGTGGGACTACAGGCATGCACCACCACACCCTGCTAATTTTTTATATTTGTCGTAGAGACGAGGTTTCACCATGTTGGCCAGGCTGGTTGAACTCCTGACCTCAGGTGATCTGCCTGCCTTAGCCTCCCAAAGTGCTGGGATTACAGGTGTGAGCCACTGTATCCCACTGGTAATTACTTTTTNATTGAATTTTGATCTTGTTGCCCAGGCTGGAGTGCAATGGCACGATCTTGGCTCACTGCAACCTCCACCTCCCAGGTTCAAGCAATTCTCTTGCCTCAGCCTCCAGAGTAGCTGGGATTACAGGTGCCCACCACCATGCCCAGCTGATTTTTTTTTTCTTTTAACCACTAGACCACCAGGGATGACTTTCGTATTTTTAATAGAGATGGGTTTCACCATGTTGGTCAGGCTGTCCCAGTAATTCTATTTTTAATGATTTGTGGAACTGCCATACTGTTTTCCATGGCAGCTGCATCATTTTACATTCCCACGAATACATGAGTGTTCCAGTTTCTCTGCATCGTTGCCAACACTCGTTATTTTCTGCTTTGTTTATAGTAGTCCTCCTAATGGGCATGAGATGATACCTCGTTGTGGTCTTGATTTGTGTTTCCCTAATGACTAGTAATGTTGAACATATTTTCATATGCTTGTTAGCCATTTGCATATTATTTTTGAATAAATGTCTATTCAAATCTTTTGACCATTTTTTAAATTGGGTTATTTGGTTTTTTGTTGTTGAGTTATAGGAGTTCTTTATATATTCTAGATGTTACCCTTTATCAGATAATATGATTTGCAAATATTTCTCTCATTTCATGGGTTGCCGTTTCACTCTGTTGATTGTGTCTTTTGATGCACAGAAGTTTTTAATTTTGATGTAGTCCAACTTATCTATTTTTTACTTTTTTTAAAATAAGAGATATACTTTATCTTTTTGTTTTATTGTGGTAAGAACACTTAACATGAAATCTACCCTTTGTATTTTTACTTCTGTTGCCTGTTCCTTTGGTGTCCTGGTGTATTTTTTTTAATTTTTAACAAATTTTTCCCCAGCTTTATTGAGCTATAATTGACAAATAAAATAATATATATTTACATTTTACTATGTGATAATTGCTTTTTCTTTTTTTACCAGGCTGGAGTGCAGTGGCACAATCTTGGCTTACTGCAACCTCTGCCTCCTGGGTTCAAGCAATTCTCCTGCCTCAGTCTCCCAAGCAGCTGGGATTACAGGCGTGCACCACCATGCCTGGCTAATTTTTGTAATTTTATTTATTTTCATTTATTTATTTATTTTTTTGAGACAGAGTCTCACTCTGTTGCCCAGGCTGAAGTGCAGTGGCACAATCTCAGTTCACTGTAATTTCTGCCTCCCGGGTTCCAAGTGATTCTCATGCCTCAGCCTCCTGAGTAGCTGGGATTACAGGCGAATGCCACCATGCCTGGCCTAATTTTTGTAGTTTTTGTAGAGACAGGGTTTCACTATGTTGGTCAGGCTGGTCTCAAACTCTTGACCTCAAGCAATCCTCCCGCCTTGGCCTCCCAAAGTGCTAAGATTGTAGGCATGAGCCACTGTACCCAGCCCAATGTGATAATTCTGTATACATATAAATTGTTAAATGATTACCACAATTAAGTTAATTAATATATCACCTCATATAACACATCACCTCACTAAAAAGTGTAATAGTTACACTTTTTAAAAATAACAGCTTTATTGCGATATAATTCACATGCCTGAAATAAAGTATACGGTTCAATGACTTTTAGTATACTCGTTGACTTGTGAGCCTATCACCACTATCTATATTTAGAACATGTTCATCACCCCTAAGGGAGACCCCACCTATTAGTTGTCACTCCTCATTTTTCTCTCCACTTCCACCCCAAACTCCAGGCAGCTACTAATCTACGTTCTGTCTCTATAGATTTGCCTATTTTAGAGATTTCTGACCTTTTAAATGAGAATTAGTTTGTAGGGTCTTTCTCACATTAAAATATCACATTTTAAAAGTTGAATTTAAATGAATATTTTACTTACCTGCCGTATTGTTTCACTATGTTATCAGTGATTTTGTGGCTTCTTTTGTAGTGTGTTGATTATGGTTGTGCCAGTGTGCTTTATGCCTTTGGGAGACCCTCTTCAGATGACTGTCATCAAAGGAATCCTAGAAAGCAATGGTTTGATTCCCTTATATATACTTTTGACATTTTCTTTGTTTTAGCAAGTGTGGTATTTTTTTTCTAAACAGGTCAGGAATATCCTGCTATAGTAGAATTTGCACCTTTTCAAAAAGCTGCAAAAAAGAAGACTAAGAAAAGAGATACCAAAGTCGGGACTATTGATGATGGTACAGTATAGTTCTAATTATATAATGCTATTGCCGTGGGGTTTTTAAAAAAAATATCTTTGGCCGGGTGTGGTGGCTCACACCTGTAATCCCAGCACTTTGGGAGGCCGAGGCAGGCGGATCACCTGAGGTCAAGAGTTCTAGACCAGCCTGGCTAACTGGTGAAACCCTGTGTCTATTAAAAATATAAAAAAAATTAGGCCGGGTATGGTGGCTCACGCCTGTAATCCAAGCACTTTGGAGGCCAAGACAGGCGGATCACCTGAGGTCAGGAGTTCAAGACCAGCCTGACCAACATGGTGAAAGAAAGAAAAATTAGCATGGCTTGGTGGTGCACGCCTGTAGTCCCAGCAACTTGGGAGGCTGAGGCAGGAGAATTGCTTTAACTTGGGAGGCGGGGAAGTTGCAGTGAGCTGAGATTGCACCATTGCCCTCCAGCAATGACAAAGCAAGACTCCATCTCAAAAAAGAAAAAAAAAAGTTTGAGAGCTAATTAGACCCCAATATTTTAAATTAGAAAATATACAAAATAAAGTAAATGAGAAATGTTACTTGCCAGTGGAAGCTTTGTTTAATTGTTAGAATAGAGGGGGGTTTCTTGCAGAGAATTTCTGCTCTCTTTGGCTAGGGCATTTCATTCTTCAACCATTGAACAATATAATGTTGATTTTTTATTTTTTTTTTTTGACGGAGTCTCTGTCATCCAGGATGGAATGCAGTGGTGTGATTTCAGCTCTCTGCAAGCTCCACCTCCTGGGTTCAAACAGTTCTCTGCTTCAGCCTCCTGAGTAATTGGGATTACAGGTGTCCGCCACCGTGCCCAGCTAATTTTGTATTTTTAGCAGAGATGGGGTTTGTCCATGTTGGCCAGGCTGGTCTTAAACTCCTGATCTTGTGATCCACCCACCTCGACCTCCCAAAGTGCTAGGATTACAGGCATGAGCCACCATGCCCGGCCGTGTTGGCTATTGAGTAGCAAATCACCATAGGTTTATTGATTAGAAAATAGTGGAAAAAATCAGTTTTTAGTTTAACAGCTGCTTCTTGAAGGCTCACCATATTTATGATTATTTATTTGACTTTTGGTTTCCATTATATTTATAAAGAGGAAGGTTTGAACTGTCATGGGAAAATTTCCATACCCAGGTAACTTTATATAAAGTAGCTGAAGTCATCACTCGTATTTTCTGGTCTTTGAATATATAGTTAGCTACACACATAGTAATTAGGTTGAACAGAAATAGAAGAACTATGGCTAGGCGTGGTGGCTCACACCTGTAATCCCAACACTTTGGGAGGCCCAGGCGGGTAGATCAGCTGAGGTCAGGAGTTCAAGACCAGCCTGGCCAACATGGTGAAACCCTGTCTCTACTAAAAATACAAAAATTACCTGGGCGTGGTGGTGGGCATCTGTAATCCCAGCTGCTTGGGATGC